GGAGGCCGCCTCGTTGGGTAAACAAGGCAGTTCGCTGTATCTTCAACCGCGTAAGACTGGATACGCCTTATATTTAAAACCATATCCGGCAAAAAACTTTTAAATTTGCCGCGAAAAGCATTAACGGACTCGGATCTTGTAAAGTATGCGAAAGACGTACCCTTCTTCAGAGGAGTGTTTATGCGTGATAAATTACCGCGAAAACCCCATTTAAACGAGTGCGCTATCGTAAACCTGGATGATGCTAAAGGAAGAGGTACGCATTGGGTTGCTTTCAAGAAACGCGGCATGAAGGCAGTTTACTATGATAGCTTCGGCGACTTGACGCCACCAATAGAAATAGTTAAATATTTATCCGGATGCAACATCATATACAATTATACTAGGGAGCAAAATTATAATACGCTGATATGTGGACATTTATGTTTAAATTTTCTGTATAATAAATAATAATTGAACCTAGAGTTTGTTTACTTCATCAGTCATGTCTCAAACGTTCACCTTAACAGGTGCCGGCAACGTCCTCAGCACCTCATATTTTCCACCGATCGAACTAGACCGCAATTATCAATATGGATTAGGGTTGGTTGGCTTTTACGGCTGTAATTCTATACGCAATATATTTGAGGGAAACAACAAATTTTACTATGCAGCGGCCGATAGCATCTTCAAAGAGATTACCATTCCGAGTGGCGCGTATGAAATTGAAGAGATCAACAGGATTCTACAGCATCATATAAACGAACCAACCAATTCGATGGACTTTATGTTGAGACCTAATAATAATACGCTAAAATGCGAAATGAAAACCATACATGATATTGACTTTAGGAAATCGAACTCCATCGGTCGCATGCTCGGTTTCTCTCCTAAATTGTATAAAGGAGGTAGAACCCATGAATCTGATCTGGACGTGCAAATAATCAACGCTACTAATATACACGTCGAGTGTAATCTAACGGGTGGAGCATACAGAAACAGTGCGCTATCTCATACAATCTTTGAATTTGACGTACACGTTGAGCCGGGCTATAAGTTAATCAAGGAGCCGGCTACGATTATATATTTACCGGTACTCGCGCATCAAATAGATAACATAACCTTGAGGTTAGTCGATCAAGACGGTCATTTAGTAGATTTCGGCGAAGAAAGAGTGACTATTCGATTGGAGCTGAAAAAATATGGGACTTAAAATTTTCTGTAAGCAAGGTTCTTCATTTAGTCATCCATCGTCGGCCATCGACGCAACAATTGCTCACGGTGCATTAACCGAAGACGACGTACAGTTTTTGCAATATCTCGGCTATACAGTACTAAGAAAAGATGGAAGAAGCATTAAAAAACCTATTCACGGGCGTAAAGTATGAAGACATGATCGTGGAATGCGATCGCAGAACATACCATCCTTATACGACAAACGCTTATGGTAACTCCGATGAGATTAATCTCGTCATACAGAAAGCGGATCTCATCACGGCCACCTACGATAGCGTTATATATTTAGAAGGAACGCTGAATCCGACTACCGCAAATAAAGCTTACGATTTCACCAACAACGCGCCGCTCTTTCTCTTCGACGAAATTAGGTTTATTTTGGGTGATCAGGTGATAGAAACTGTTCGATTACCCGGAATAAACAGCACCATCAAGGGGTTTTGCTCATACACATCAGATCAAAGCAGATGCTTATCGCATGCAGGTTGGAGCCCTTCCGGGTCTCCTCAGATACTAAATAGCACGAAGACGGCTTTCTGCGCTTCCATACCTCTAAAGCATGTACTCGGGTTTGCCGAAGGATACAGGAAGCCTCTAGTCAACATCCGTCAAGAACTGATATTAATTCGTTCCAAGGACGATAGTGATTGCTATAAAGGCGAGACTGAAGTTAAGATTAATCTTACGAAGGTAACATGGAAAGTTCCGTACATAATTCCTAACGATGCTATGAAGTTATCGATCTACGGGAGGATTAACAAGAATTCGCCGATACAAGTGGCGTTTCATGCGCGCGACCTTTACGTATACCCAACCTTACCCAGCACCAGATCATTGGTTTGGTCGGTAAAAAGCAGCACCGGTTTTCAACGGCCTCAATGGCTACTGATTGCGTTCCAAACTAGGAAGCGAAATAACAAAGAAGCAGATGCGAGCGAGTTTAACCATTTAAGCATTTCCAATATAAAAGCAAACATTAACAACCGAAGATATCCGTATGAGCAGCAAAATCTGGTTTTTACCGATAACAAGTATGTGGATGCTTACGAAGAATATTTAAACTTTCGTAATCAATATTACGACTCGTCGCAGGAGAGCTCCCTTCTTAGCTACAAAGAGTTCGAAAAGCAGCCTATCTTCATTATCAATTGCACCCGTCAAAACGAGAGCGTCCATAACGTGGTGATCGATTTGAAGCTGGAAGTTGAAGCATCATCTGCATTTGCAAATGAAACTATCGCTTACTGCGTTATTTTACATGATGCATTAATCGAGTATGAACCGTTCACCGGCATCGTACGCAAAACTTAATTATAGTTCACGTAAAAGTGTAATTAAACTTTATATAAATGAAGAGTGTCAGTTTTGACGAATCAAAAAATAAAATTTATATCTTGCGAGTGTGGTCCTATGCTCACAGAGAAGCAAGAAAGGGTCCGTGGGAAACTGTCGCATTAGATAGGTACCGCTTCAAATGTAAAATAGAACGCATTGCAGCTGTTTTGGAGCCCATATTATGTAATCGTATTAAGATGTATCAATTGCAATAAAGTAAAAAAATGATTGATTGATTTTGGTTGTTTTATTTAAAAAAAATTACTGAATTACATGCGTATTATAAATATAATAAACGTTAGATAATGCGCAACAACAAAGTGAGCGCACATGATAGTAGCAACATGCTTCTAATTTAGGTAGAGCTGGTTCTTCTTCCACCTCGGTGACATTTTGCGATAGAGTTTTTCGAATGAAATCGGCTTTTTCTTTTCCTTTAACGTATACTTGGTCTGATGATGATATTAACTGGCGAAGTATAATTGGAAACATGTAGGATGGCGTATGACCATGCTCCCATTTAATTCCGTGATGGTTATGAATTAGCCAGGTAGCTTGCCGTTGTAAATCGGTAGATAAGCTATTCCACGGAAATGGAGGCCTGAACATAAAATGAGCAACCTGCTTGCCATTATAAATCGCCAGTTCTTTTGGTATAAATACGTTTCTTGATGTTTTAAAGCCTTGTACATCGATTACAGTCTGCACCATTATGTCGTTGAGAGAGGATTAAGTATTTATAACCTAATTTTTAATTCATTTCAATATATTCCCGCACTACCACATCCTTATTAGTCCTCCAAAAGAAAATTTTGAATCAGTATAGATTTTACAATCATGCAAGCTGCAGTTGTCGTACTGAGCTGGTTTTTCTGTATTAGTGCTAATGCTGCTGCTGCTGCTGCTGATAATGTTGACGACGGCAGCGATACAATCAGTGAGCGTGAAATCGATATGGCATATAGTCATCTCACCAAATATGGATATATAAAGGAGCCTGGTGAAGGTGAATCAACTCAAGATAATCGTACAAATATCACCGTTAACGCTTTAAAGAAATTTCAAGAACTCTATAAACTACCTAGTGATGGCAGATTAAATGCCGAAACATTACAACTCATGTCTCGACCTAGATGCGGAAATATTGATGACCCAGCAGCGTATATGACTCATCGGTATAAATGGACAAAACAGACTTTGATTTACTATATTTCCAATATGCATGACCTGCACATTTTACAGATGACGGATAAAGCATTTCAAGTTTGGGCGAACCACACAAATTTGAAATTCAAATATAGCTCAAGGAACCCAGACATATTAATATCATTTCATACCCGAAAGCATGAGTTCGCTTCACCACCATATCCGCAATGTGCATTCGAGTTTGATGGATTGGGCAATGTATTAGCCCATGCATACTTTCCCTCCAGAGATCAGAATGTTGTTGAAATGCATATAGATTGGGAAGAACGCTGGCATGTAGCAGATGCAAATGCACCTCCCCCCGGTTATTCTAGTTATTTCCAAGTTGTCTTACACGAAATAGGTCATACTCTCGGATTACACCATTCGAGCGATGAAAATGCACTCATGTTTCCTTATTACAATTCAAATATGATCACGCTACATGAGGATGATATAGCTGGAATCCGAGCACTATATCCTAGTGATACTGCTGGTACCCCTTCACCAGAGAATAAAACTTATCATCTTTCAACGCGTATTAAGACAACTACACCTACTCCCAAGACTACTACTCGCAAGACCATTAAACCACCTGACCTGTGTACCATTCAAATCGAACACTTTTTGATTCTAAACAAACGACTTTATATGTTTTATGAACATTGGGTTTGGATATCGGCGTTAAACAGCAGCAAAGTGGAACCTGCCAAGAATCTGCTTGAGTGGTTAACGTTTCTTCCGGCATCTTTTAAACGTTTGGAAGCGGTATATCAAAAGCCTAACGGTGATGTTGTCTTCTTTAGTGGCGGTCGCATATACATAGTGCAATTCCCTAGTCTGCAACTGCTACCAGGATGGCCTCAACCTTATAGCCGCTTCACAATTCCCAACAGCCATAAAGTGAATGCTGCAGTTAACACCTATACCGGACGCACGCTTATTTATCATGGTGCAAATGAACTGCTAGATTTGGATGATTGTAGTCATCGGCCTAAAAATCGCTTAATATATGCGGAAACCTTTCCGGATATTCCGGCTAAGATAACTTCTATATTCAAATACATGGATGGATACCTATACTTTATCACCGGAAATAAATTTCATAAATATAGTGAATATACAGGTCGTGTAATTCAATCAGGTGACATTGATCTATCCTTATTCAATATTCATTGTGCTAATAAAGGCGTATTGGAGCAATTATATAATGCATTAGCTAAACTTTTAAAGTTTGATAAACATATTGAATTGTATATGCGGCATTAGGTGGATAATAAGTTGATGTGTATCCATACCTATGAATAAATAAAAAGCATTTTTATGTTAAAAAATTATTTATTTTAACATGCTAATTTTACTAACAACCGTATTTATAAATTTTCGAGGGTGAATGTTTACAATTTCTGTTAGAAGAGTCAAGTCTTGCAAATTATCATACTTTTCCTTCCAACTGCTTAGCGATGTTAACAATTTGAGATTTTGGCATATCAATTTCCCTTTCGATAAAATGCTCTCTTCGCTAGTAACACCTTCGGTATGTAGAATTTTTGCCACCTCACGCGTAAAGTCATCATAAAGACAATACATCGCATAGTGGTTGGCGACATCCAATTTTTGAGTAATTACTTCGGAAGCGATAAATATCATATCGATTGCTTGCTTGGAAAATATTATAGATTTATCTGATTCGCTTATTCGAATACATCCGCCGTCTTCTTCTTCTTCCGCTTCAAGTATTATTATTTTGGACTCGGTAAAAATTTCATGCTTGCTCCTTCTTTTAGGCGTACACTGCACCATATGTTTAATTAAGTGTTCAGTTTTAAAATTGAATATTTCTTTCCATTCGCAACGCTCAAATTGTAAATACTGGTCATCATAATGCGGAGGACATGATATTTGCACGATGGAATCGAAAAAGTACTCGTCCAGTGTAACGCCAACTTCGAGAATAATGCCTCCGTCTAAGAATAACGACCACGAAGATATTAAGGTTTCCTTTCCTATAAACATACATCTTTTGCTTCCACAATAATCGGCGTTATTCAATGCATACCTTGCTCCTCTTTCGAGGATTCATTCACCGATAATTTATCCAGCGAAAGCGATGACTTTGCATCATCTTCGCTACCCCACGAATCTTGCGATTGTTGCTGTATTTGTGCACTCATCTCGATATAAATCGATTTTTTACTTTCTTATTACTCTTATACCTGCTCTTAAAAGTACTTTTGGAGGGGATTTGAAGAAATCCATCATGCGCAGTGTATCTTAAAGGTGTAGGTATAAAACGGGGATGCTAATGTTCATTTCGGTCCTCATATCGAACGATAATGGATCGAATACTTTACAACATCGCTAGGCGAGAGGCTCAAAAGGAGTCTAATTATATTGAGACGAAGAGCGAATTGTTAAGTTTAAGTGTAAATGACTTATTGAAAATATGGATCAAGATTCCAACCGTATTTCAAAGAGATTGTGAGCTGCGGAATCGAATACGATGTACAAAACACTGGAATCAACCATGGCAGCGCACCCACATCGATGGTCCAGCGCCGTTAATGATTTATTGTAGAGATTGTATTATGGCGGAGCGCACACAAAAAACTTTGTAGCTTCATAATTTCTAGCATTTTGTATATGTAGATATTTATTATATTAATTAAAATAAAATGGTTATTACACCTTTAAGCGTCTTATCATAGCTGCTATAAATAAACACTATCGCGAGATTGCAGCTTCCCATTCTAATTATAATAACAACTAAATTTCGCACGCTGTTACTCTATACCTATAGCAGGTAGGGTTAGCTGCAGCTCATATGTGAGTATCTAACGCCACCCTCTACGCCCCTGCAATCGCGCTCCCCCTCATTCTAACAATACTTGAACTGCTAAACGTTCATATCTCAAAGCCTCGCCTAGCTCAGATGGTTAAGGCGGCAGATTCGTAATTCACGTATCGACGGTTCAAATCCTCAACGCAGACTTTTTTTCAGACAAATATTTCACAAGCTATGACGCGTTTCCTGGTCTAGAAATAAACGCGGGAAAACTAGATATGACGTAGACAAAATGGCCGATACTGCATTCTGATTGGTGTGACGCGTTTCCTGATCCAACCCAAAATGTGACGTAGACAAAATGGCCGACCGAAATACTCGATTCTGATTGGTGTGACGCGTTTCCTGGTCTAGATCCCCCCGGACGCAAAACAGCCAAAATGTGACGTAGACAAAATGGCCGATACTGCATTCTGATTGGCTCACACGTGACCACGTGACCGAAATACTCGATTCTGATTGGTGTGACGTCACTTCCTGGTCCCGTACGTACATTGCTCATCTACTTTTGTCGCGTTATTTATTTACTACAACAGGAGGAAATTTTTATTCGTTTATGAAAAGAACTAATGGATCTCTATACAAGAGCAGACATTAAACAAAGGAAATTATCAATTAAGCGATTTCGACATGGTTTGTAAATGTAAAATGATTTATAACTGATAGTACGGAAATAATTTGCAGCTTTTGACGTGTTATTAATAATTTATACAATTATACTTGATAAATGAATGTCTTTATTATTCCAAGGGAAATTATGACAATGTTTCATGAAGATTAATGTATTGAACCTTTCCCCTTCAATCTTCGTTTATTAATTTTAAATGACGTGATCACACTTACATCCTCTAAGTACATACAACGTGTGCTACTGCGTTTGTCCATAAACTCTTTCCCTAATTTACACCTTTCATATGTTTATACACTCATACATAAATCTCCGTCATGGATTTTATTTAACGGAACGGGGAATCCTTTGTTCCTTGTAGGTTTTATGACATATGCGCCATCTATCGCTGGTTGTATGCACATATACAGCGAAAAACGGCATTACAGGTTAAAGTATTACAGAAAATCCTATCACGCTACGAAACGGAAAACCACGTATTCGTTTGATTCATCTTTACAGGTTTATAAACTAATTTTATTTTGATTAAAAGGAAACATCATCAAACAATTTGTTCACGCATGGAAAATTCACTAAAAAGGAATTGCAATAGTTCTGTTTAAGACATTTTGCTTTAGTTATGTATTATCTGCCTTTGATCCTTGCCACTTGCAGTTGATGCCGTAATCATACGTTTATGTCTAATTATTTTCGTTCAGTTAAACATACTCGCTACTTTAAGTTGCTTGGAAAATTCTTTGTCTTTGGGTTCACTAAAGGGAGTTTCACAAGTGTGTGCGTTTGACGTTAAAGCTTTAAAAGCTCATTTTTGCATTTGAAAGAGTTAATGTTTAAACTGCATAGAGTGGTGAGGTTGCTTTCTGTCAATATTTTTTTGTACTTTTGTCGTTAACATGTCAATCAAACCATCCCTTTGAGTGCTCTCGTAAACTAGTTGCAAAATAAGAAAGAAATTTACTAAAACGAACGAAAGGTACCTACCTTAATTTGTGTGAGACACCAGCCTATATTTTCGAAGGCAGAGACTGCTTACAGAAAGGTGACATCTTTTATATACATCTACGCCAATATTTCTACTTAACATCGGTCAATTCCTTCATACATGACGGGCACAGCGATATAATCAATCAATCAAGCAATAATAACCATTAATATCACTCACCCCAAACATCAGGATCACAAAACTCTCTAACAGTACCTACCTGGTCTCTATAGCTACTCTCGGTCTGGATCTCTGTAATTACAAGAAACACAAAGAGCACATATCTTCGATTCAGCTACATAGCGACTCAGCAACAGTCAAATGTGCTACACTTAGTAGCTGGGTTAAGAAGAACGGAGGATGTTCTCACGTCCAGTTCCCCCTATGGCACCCTGTGCAATTACTACCCCCATGCGTTGAACTAAACGATGTTCTGCAGGAGTCTTTATTTCACCAGTCGGCCCATTTTGCCCTGGAAGCACTCACGCTAAAAACGTAACTCCCATTATGGTGAGCGGGCCTCCGGGGACCCGGAATACGTAACCCTCATGCAGATCCCAAAGCATCCATACAGACACACCGTATGTATATGAAGGTGCAAGACCACGCATCTTCCCGTGCGATAACCCACCCCCGAGAATCGTCTACTGATCGTCCTGCTCCCAATAATCCTGGATACGTACACTTACACCAATCAGAGGGCACGCACGCACTCTTAAATTACCCCGGAGTACTTACGCCGAAAACGTAACTCTGTGAGAGAAAACTTAACATAACACCAGACCAGGGTGTGCGCGGCGTACCATCTGCGATATAGGAAACCTTCCAACGTTGGCCGAGTCACCAGCCTGTCTCAATTAATGACGATAGGGTTAGCAGTATATAACTGCACACAGATATCTACATTCAAACATGTGTAGCATTCAAGACCCCTAAGTCTACTTAATAATCAACATACTCTAACAGTTAAGACAAGAAGGTACCTTCAATAATTAGTACAGATAACGCTCGTATTCATATGCATAACATCTCTAAGGAAACGTCCGCCAGTACCCTTTTGTTACGAACGGTGAGTCTAATTGCATGTACACAATATAAATGCAAGCAGAGGCACTCAAATTAAGTATGTAGATCAGTATAGTAAATAACTGCACTTAACAAAAGTCACACGCATATGTCCAATATTCCCCTTTAGGCAATCGTTGTCGCACTCTTAATTAATATCGGCGCCTTCAATCGTCGTGCTTTAAGTTTAAATGTTGGTACAACTTACCCTAAGTCCGTTTTACGTTTGACAGTTTTATTGGGGTTTCTATGTAAACTACTGCCCTTTTAGTTTATATGTGATCAAATAATAGCTGCATATTTCAGTTTAGTTGACATTTGATTTGTCAGCTCTTGATGCATCCTTAATGTTTGCATCAACTTTTTTTATTTATTGGTGAGGTACATTAGCGTAGAAGGTTTTTGAGCCTTCGATGTAGTACCACTGATTCAAAACAACTCAGTTGTTACGGGGGATATTGTTTTAGTTTCCTGTATTTGCTTTTCCGTAGACATCGCTAATTAATTTTTGTAGTTTAATTAATTTAATTTGTGCTTTCATTTTTTGTCGTAATTTTGTTTTAGTTTTTCCGAAGTGACCGCCGCCATTTGCTGAACTCGTCCGATTCCTGGAGCTACCGTTTACTGTGATTGAGCTTACCGATGCTTCCGAGATCGATCCGCCAAACCATTGCTGCCACCGACCTTGACCGTCCGCCCATCCGTTCGTTTCGCTGACAGGTCCTCAGACTGCCGCTACTTTCGTCCGCTAACATGATTTACTTACTATAACTTGTAAATTTATTTATTTTTCTTTTTAATTAAATTTTAATTATTATTCCGCTAATGCTTATTTAATTTTTCGTGCCATTTGTGCACGGACTTACTACCAAAATTCGTCGCAGTTGGCAGACTATTAGTGTTAGAAGCAAAAGCAACTGAAACCTTACACAGCACCTTATACCAGGTCGTAAGTTACACCTAACTTGACATTTGAATGAACCGCTAAAACCTCAAAGCTCTTTTTACATAGCAAATCCTTGAAGTAGTCACTGATTGTCAATGTGAAAATCATAACGTCAAACTTTAATCATTTAGTAGAGCCCTGTAGAAAAGTGGCACTTCAGTAAAATATAATAGGTACGTGTGGAAATAATTAAAAAAAAATAAACGGACAGAAAGACCGTATATCCATTTTCGGACTCCAAATTCAGAATATTCAAATAATTGCGATTTATGGAAAATAAGTGAGCGCAACCATATAAGCATACCTCTTGTAATGATGTTATGAACTGGTGCAGTTTAATATGTATTATTTGCCCCAACCTTCACGTCGGTATGACTGATATTGATATTTATGCATCGTCGTTTACGGTGTTATAGAAATCACTGGTAGCGTATATAATTTACGATAATTAAATCTGTTAATTAGTCTGACTGGAATATTAATGTTATGGATATGTATACAGCCATTGTAATTAGCCGTGGGCTTGTTATGTTTTAATTAATACCTTTCTCTTGTAATAGCACTGCAAGTAATAAACCTACATACACGTTATCGTACGATATACAGTTTATTTTTGATTTACGACTGACTTCCTGCCATATATTCTCACACCTAACATGCTCATACATTCTAATCAGGTCGTATATTTTAATAATGCGTTTTTGTTAGGGATCTAGCATTCAAATACCCGGTGCGAAATATATTACATCTCATATTTGCATAATAATCTCTACAACGTGCATATGTTTGCATTACGTTTCGTCATGTTTTTATTCAAGTACATTTTTCGGTGCAACGCCACTGTTGCGTAAATTTTAATAGACTAATATTAAAGGACTTGATTTACATTAAGTAAATCGATTTGGTCAATTAAAGATTACTCGAAGAGCCTAATTACAAAGTAGTGGAAGTTTTATTTCTAAAATTTCCAAATACGTTAAACAAGAGAAAGATGCTGAAAATAGTAACCTTTAATGAATTCATGAATTAAATTTATAAACAAATATTCAAATCATGTTTTGGCGGAGTATATAATATTGATTATACATACCGGGTGTCCACTCTCAAAGTCGAACATAGGGAATTAATATGTGTATTCAATTCGTAGTCTTTTGGCAATTATTTCTATAATACACCAATATAGTATGTTAGCAATAAAGGCTTCGAACGATTTTTATTAAAAATACACAAAAATACTAGTAAGGAAAAACAAATTAAAGTAAATATTCAAATAACCCCCCGTTTTGAGCTAAGCAATATCCCAGTCGGTTGTAAAAACTATTTCGCACATTCGCTAACTCCCTGTTAGTAAT